TCAAAGTAGAAAAGAAGACTATATTAAGACATATGAAAGATTCAGTTAAATTTGTTCGCTTATGTATAAATATGACTCACCCTTCATCGGAAGGCTCTCCTGGAATAGGTGAAAGATTGGGGGAATCTTCATTGTCCTACAATCAAACCCATGATAAAGCCATAACTTGTTAGCACAAGCACAGCTGTATTATTTATCAGAGCTTCTTCAAATCACAAAAAAACCCTATGTATAAGTATGAGTGTACCTTAAATGCTTCCTTGATAGCCATATCCACCAACTCTTCCTCAGTCAAGATTTTGAGCTCATCCACCCTGCACAACAAATAATACCACTGTGAACCAAAACCCACCAGCTAAAATTCAAAATGCAAAACCCAAGACAAAGGAAAGTAAAAATGCTTACGAAATATCTTCGTCTAAGACTTGGGATGAACTTGAAGATACTTCAAATTCTAAATCCTGCAAAATAAGCCCGACACAACTTTATACTAATGAATCAATCAAAAATTAGCAAAGCAATAACAGAACTATCAAGAACTCATCAACCAAGAGTACCTGAAGTTCTTGGACAATAGAAGATTGGAACAAAGGGACACTGGTGAGGGAGCCCACCAGATTGGGAACGAAGATGGGCCCACCTCTGGGAACTGAGAGTTCTTCCTCTTCCTTATCACAACCATTGTTGTTGTTATTGGTGTGTTCTTCGTCTTCAACACTGCAACTGTCACCATCATTCTCTGCCATAATCTATCTTCTTGTGTAAAGTTTTGAACTTTAATTACACCAACAAAATGCATAAAGTATATATCTTCTCAATCTTCAACGAAATTAAAGAAACCCAATTGGGAAAGCAGCATACGAAGTGAAGGGAACAGTTGGTTTCATTTACAACAAAATTGGAAAAAAGAAAATAGTATAAATACCTGTGAGGTGAAGGAAGTCTAGGGTTTCTGAGAGAGAGAGAGAGAGAGAGAGAGAGAGTTGAAGACAAAAGTGTCTCTCTTTGCGTCTCCCGGTTAACCCCCTCAAACAAACAGTTTGTTTTTACAGTAGATATGTTGCAGAACGCGGCAAATATATGCCCTGGTACTGCCTAGGGAGTTTAAGCAGTTCGCAATGTGGGCCCCACTCTCAACAGAAGAAGAGAAAGGGGAAGAAGGTTTTTTTTTAAGAGTGGTGATTTCCCACTCATTTTTCTCCTATTTTATCTACTTACACTCCTTTTTTAGTAAAAAAGGAGTGTAAGTAGATAAAATAGGAGTGGGAAAATCATTGTCCTTTTTTAAAAGTAAGGCTAAATTACTCTTTTTAACCAAAAAAAAAAAAAATTAAAAGAAAAGAGAAAAGAAAAGCGGCATGACGCATACTTTATTTTTATGTTTTTGTTTGGCGAGTAAGGTGCGGATGAGTATTATATGAGGTTGTCTCAAAATTGTCTCCGTGTGAATTAAAGAGGAACTTTGAAATTAATTTTTCACATAAACTTCTTAAAAAAATATATAAGATGTTTCATATTCTTGCCATCTGAAAACTCAAGGCATTCCATAGATTACAACTTGAATAGTACATATCATCTGCTGTTTTTTAATTTTCTAATTGGATCTCACAAATTTCTTGAGATGTAGCATCCTCCAATGGGTTCTTCTCTTTCTCTTTGTTCTTTCCCCAGAGAGTTGCAGACAAACCAACAATAATCAAGGAAGCTCCTAAAATACTGAAAATGTTCACAAATAATAAAATATATTTTAAATTGATAGCAACCCAGAATTCCAAATAAGTGAATCAAAAAAAAAAAATCATACCTTCCCAAGTATATTGCTTCTCTTAAAACGAATAGCCCCATTATAGCTGCAACAATTGTGGATAGTGGTCTAAATGCTGTCATGAAAACTGGGCCTCTTGTTTTTACAACTAATGTTTGCACATAAATGGTGATTCCAAAAATCAAAACTCCCTGCAAAAATTTCACCTCATCAAACTTCCATGAGCGGAGAAGCTTTACCATATGACAGTTGAAGACCTCTTCAGATTCTTACACTGTACAAAGGAGCAAGAAGTGTACTGTCCCATGACAGCTTCCAAGAGGATGCTTCATGATCTAGAATTGCTGCCATGATCGCCGTGAGTAGAGTCCCCGATAAGCACGTTATCGATGTAAGAGTAATAGGTGCAGGATACATTTCGATTGTTGTTGTCTGCATCAATCAAATGTATGAGTATTGTGAGTAACTGCCATGCAAACGGTAAGTTGTTCCTGTGACACTTTGTTTTTGGTTGTAGTGGTAGAATATGTGTCAAACACCTGTAAGATGTAGAATGCTGATGAGGAAAAATATGAAACAAGAAGAATAAGGGAGCCCTTTATCCAGTCTCTGTCTACTGATGATTTGGAAGTAGCAGATTGCTGGGAGGCTTGAGTGTGCATTGAAATCACAGCAATTCCCTTGTATAGCGTCATCAGCGCTGCACCGGCAAAGGCGATAAGAGTTCCCCCAATCTTGGCTTGGGTACCAAGCTTTGTAATATCAAATTTTTCCATCCTGAGTACATATCATAGTGTAAATCCTTAATCAGAATGCAATAATGCTGTGAGTTCCTTTTTATTTTCAGTGCAAAGGTATGCTCAAATGCAATGGTGAATGGACATATTGACCAAATATATTTCATACCTGCACAAAACTGCTATGATAAAGGTAAAACATGGAATAAGGTTGCCCATAGCAGATGCAATAGCTGGTGAAGTGTATTCCAGTCCCATGTAATTCAATGTTCTTCCCAACACTCCTCTGAATTACACAGTAAGATGCAGAAAATTAACATCAATTTTCATTTGTCTGATAATTGTCCAACATTAGTTGGGGATGACTTGTTAAGAGGTTAACAATTTACTCACCCCAGCAGGCCCAAGAAGAAGACATTTCGAATGATCGGAACACTGATTTTGCTCTCATTTTTCCTGTCACGAGATAGGTTATGGTTAATCAGACGCCATAGGATACTGTTCATATTGGAGGAGGGCGCCATATTTTTATGCAGGTTATGGAGGAAATCAAATGGAAATAATTAGAAGAGTTATGTTGCAAACTTCTAACAAAGAAACAAATAAAGAAAGAGCTTTAGACTTTAGAATCCTAGGACCATGAGTTATATGAAGAATGAAAACTAATAGACCTCTCAAAAAGAAGTGCAAGAAGAGCAGTTGCTAGCGTTCCAAAAGCATGGCCATAAACCACAAGCACATAACAGCTCATGCCTTTGTCTAGAGAGACCTTAATGACAACAGGGAACCCTGCAAAGCAGATGTTAGCAAATATACAAAGAATGTATGGTTTTGACACCTCCCTCTTACTGCTTCCTCCTTTCGCCCTCTTGTCCTGCTCTTCCGTTTGCATTTCCATTTTCATTTAGCATGTTGTTTTCACCATGACCCCCTTTTATATCAATTTGGGGGAATTTAAGGAAGAAAATGATCTGCTACAGATAATTCTGTGTTTCTGATATATCACCACTTCTTTTTTTTTTCTTTTTTTCTTTTAAGTAAGAAGGAAAGTTCTTTGTGACACCTCAAGAACTATTATAACTGACTCAATGCATTTTACATTTTAATGTGCCCAAGCAGAACTCCTAAGAAGTTTTATCAAGTTACAACTTTCTAGCAATTAATCTACCTACTTTATTTTGTGGTCAGCATCGGCATCAGTCTTAATCTCACTTACATACTCAACATCATACATGACTTTCTCTGTCCTTCTGATTGATTTCAATACTCACCAATCTTTCATTTCCACATACAACATCATTTGATTATTGTAACTTTTCCAAACATCTTGTAGAAGAAACGAAAACCCGCGATTGGAGGATGGTTCTAGTATTCTTTACTTATACGAAGGGACACTTGAAAATTTGTACAGATTAACCATTCAAAGTTCAAACATTGCACCAATAATTTTCCATTACTAGAAATAAAATGATTTTGATAATTGGGATCACGTTTCTTATAGAAGCAAAGAACATCAATTATTGAAGATTGGTTCAGATGTATCACAACATAAAGGAACAGTATCCATTTGGGGGATATTTCTGTGTTCCTGATATATCACTACTTACTTTCTTCTTATTTGTTTTTTTTTCTTTTAAGAAAGAGGAAAGTGCTTTGTGACACCTCAAGAACTATTATAAGAAGTGACTCAATTATGAGTTGGGTCTTACCATAAGTTCCTCCTTATGCGTTGTAGTTTTTAATGTGCTCAAGCAGAAGTCCTGAGCAGTTTTATCAAGTTACAACTTTCTACTAATCCACCTTTTATTTGATCTAAGCAGCTTACTCAGATATGGCAATGCTCAAAATAGCTTCTTCTCCCTTTCTGGTTTGCCTTTCGCCCACGAAATGTGTACGAGCAGTTATCTATGTAGCTCACACGATACTGAAAATGTTCAAGAGTTGAAAGTATAGGATACCACAATTCAAGAATATGCTCCTTCGCTAGGCAATAGATACATGACTTAGAATGCATGCCCAACCAAATATGGAGAAGCTTGTAGGCTTAAAAGACTGTATGTCTGTCTGTCATTCAGGTTGAATGAATATGAATTACAGAGCATGCTCTTTTTCATTTGTTAGTTGGTTCCCCAATTAAAAACAATCCAATATTGCCAACGGAGTCTAACACAGTAGAAAAGAGCCTTGACTTGCAGGCTAAAAATCTCATGTTTGAACCTCATATGACATCTTGATTGAGCGTATGAAAAATCTTCTCCCCTATAGTTTACTATCACTTGTGCTTTAAAATAATAATAATAATAAATCCAGAGAAATATATATTTTTTTATGATAGATAATTTGTTTTTTTTTAGAACATATATAGTGGGATAAAATTTCACAGTTCAATCAACTCACCAACAAGCTATTCTCTTTCCAATAATAAGTACCCAAATGAGTGTTGTTAAACCCTTTTTCTAAAACCCTCCAAATTAAAATAAATAAATAAATAACTTCATTTAAAATAAAATAAAAAAATTCCAAATCAAAAGCGGCCTCCTTCATTCCCCCTCTCTCTATTTCTCTGATTCCTGATCGAAGCAAAGCAGTGAACATGAGTGCCCATCTCTCTCTTCGCCACCGCTCTTTCACTTACCTCAATCGCCACCTCACATCCTCACCCTTCTCCACCACCACCTCCAAACTCCCCACCCTTTACGAACCAGCTGCCGCCGCCACCCAAAACGACGACGTCCCCACCACAACCCTCCAACTCCTCTCATGGGGCAGAGGCGCCTCGGGCCAACTCGGCGGAGGAATCGAAGAACTTCGTCTCTACCCAACCCCTGTGGCCAACCTCGTCGTTCCCGCCTCATCCTTCACCCTTTCACCAACCCAAGGCCGAATTCAAATACCCAATTGCTCAGAAACAAAGAACAATGCCCATGAAAGTGTTGTAGAGGTGGGTATTTCTTGTGGGCTTTTCCACTCGTCGCTGTTGGTGGATGAAAAGCTCTGGATTTGGGGTAAAGGTGATGGCGGTCGACTTGGGTTTGGACATGAGAATTCTCTGTTTCTGCCCACTTTGAACCCACATTTGGATTCGGTTCGCTTCGTAGCGCTTGGCGGATTGCATTCTGTTGCGCTCACCTCCCTCGGCCAGGTCTATACTTGGTCAGTACAATAGTAAAGACTAGACATTTCTTGCATTTCATCACATGTTGAGTCGCATTACATTTTGTTGATTGCAATTGTTGGGTTCTCTATTGTTTTTTTTATCTTTACAAACATTTATGCTTTTTTCTTCTTGGAAGAAGAAGTTAGCAGATATGGTTGCAATGAGCAGATTCCGTCCATAGCTTGTAAAGTTTGTATCAAGGGTAATAGTTTCTGGTCTCAACTATGTGCAATTAAAGGTGGTGTTTGAGGAAGAACTGGCCCAATTACATTTGCTTGTCATGTGTTGAAAGACCGATTTGCTATTTTAACTCTCCAACCCACGTCAATGTTACCACAGTCCACTTCTTCTATCCATTTGATATAATTATTGTTTTCGTGTCCACTGCAAATCTTTTATGTTCATTGACCATATTGCTCTATTGATTCATGCTTTTGGTTGGATAACTTCATGGTTGTCATTAAACATGAAGCTTGCAGGGGTTATGGTGGTTTTGGTGCACTTGGACATTCTGTTTATACTAGAGAATTGTTCCCTAGATTGGTGGAAGGCTCATGGAGTGGGAAAATACATCATATTTCAACTAGTGGGACACATACTGCTGCGATCACGGAATCAGGTTTGTTACTGGGACCTTTCATTGGAGTAAAGTGGTACTGCCTGGGTGCAACAAATTAATGGACTCTAACCAAGAGGGTAGGAATAACTTAAACTAGTAGTGGAAGTATGTTGCAGATGACATGCTTTTTCGGTTTCGTACTCCTTTCTGGCTTTAAGCATTTATTGTTGTTTCCGGTATGAAGATTTATATTTACGTGTTTGATTTGTCATTAGATATCTGGGTATTACTCATTGGATGTAGCATGTAGGAGAACTTTATACTTGGGGTCGAGATGAAGGGGATGGTAGATTGGGACTTGGTCCTAATCGGGGCCCAAATGAGGGTGGTGGACTAAGCATACCCTCCAAAGTAAAAGCATTACCTGTGCCTGCGGCTGCTGTTTCTTGTGGAGGGTTTTTCACAATGGTACTGACAGAAGATGGGGAACTTTGGAATTGGGGAGGTAAGGTTGTCACTTCTCATGTGGAAAACAAACAAAAACAAAAAAAAGCATGGATTGACCAAATATACTGTAACTTAACAACATAATTCCAATGCCAAATAAGTGTTATTAAATTATTGTAAGAAATGGTGTTATAGTTTTCAAATGTTCTCGCAGATATTTGCTTCATTAGTCAATGAGCTTGTGCAAATGAATTTCAATTTGCAGATTGACAAATGGAGATTGCCATAAGGGGTTGGTATTTAGTTTATTTTAGAGATCATAAAGTCATTGGTACTTCTATAATGTGTAGCATTCTTGTTACTCTTTTGTAAGGGGTTATCTAATTGGCTCTTGATGTTATTGTCATCTTTGACTTTGACTGACTTCTAATTGCTCCACTTTTGTGAAGCTAATTATCGTGTTTTCTTGGTGTTTACTCAGCAAACTCTAACTATGAGCTTGGAAGAGGCAATAAGGTTGGTGGTTGGCAACCAAAACCACTTCCTAGTCTTGTAGGTGTCCGTATCATTCAGATAGAAAGTGGTGGATATCATTCTCTTGCATTAACTGGTAATGTGACAGCTGTGTCTCATGACTGCAGCAACAACACTTGCTGTCTTTATTTCTTGAAAGGTTAAGTCTTATGTATGGCCTTTCTTTCTTGATGTTTAATTTTTTTAGGTGAAGGTAAAGTGCTTTCCTGGGGACATGGTGGGCATGGTCAGTTGGGCAACTCTTCTATCCAAAGTCAGAAAACACCTACAGTTGTTGAGGCTTTAACTGACGAGCGTGTCATCTATATTGCTTGTGGAGGTTCATCTTCAGCAGCTATAACAGGTAAGATGATTCTTGTGTTCTCAGATACTGTAATCTATTAGGTCTTAAAAATATTTTGTTATGTCGCTCAAATGTGTAAATGTTGTGCAGCCTCTAATTACATTCCACCAGGGTGTTTCTCTTTACAGTGAGTAATGTGCTCCTGTAGTTGACACACATGTTGATTTTTTCTTTAATGATTTTTCATCCAATAGAAGATTTGTATTCGGCCATGCCTTTTCATTTGGTTTGCTATGCGTTGGTAGTGTTGGGGATTGAAACTGAGACCAAAAGAAAGGACTAATTTAGAATATTCTGGAAACAACTGAAGACTTAAAGGACATCAGATTAAGAGCATCGATAATTCTTGGTTGCATAATTCAAGAACATGGTTAGGCTGATGTTTGGACCTGGTTCAAACTAGTTTACTTCATATTTTCATGCATTTCCGATTTGAAATTGAATGCCCCCGCCTTTTGTTCCATAACAGATAAAGGAAAGTTGTATATGTGGGGAAACACCAAAGATTCTCAATTAGGAGTTCCTGGGCTTCCAGAGATACAACCATCCCCTGTTGAAGTCAAGTTCTTAATGGAGGATGATGGATTGGGACCCCACAATGTGCTGTCTGTTGCAGTTGGTGCTTCTCATGCCATGTGCTTGGTTTCAAGGTCTGAGTGTTTCAGTGTGATAATTATTATGATTTTCTTTTTTCTTTTTTCTAACATATAAATTCTGTAACAGGGATGGAATGTCCAACTGAGCTGAAATGGAGGAGAAAATGGATGGATGGCTATGATTCAGAGGTTAAACTGATTCAAGATGATAAATATTATTTCAAGTGAGAAAGACAGTAGACTTCTAGCCAGGGGAGAGTGAGAGACGAACAAATGCTATACAGGAGATAAAATGTGAGCGCATTTGAGTGCCAGAAGTTGCTGCCCCTACTCCGTCTGGCATTAGTACCGCATCAATTTGCGCAAAACTCTATGAAACCTCCCTTTGAAATGCAATGGCTCAAAGCCGTTCTGCAAGGATATGCTGACAATTGACAGAACTCAGTTATTGTAAACACATGAGAGATTTCCAGGTTCTTTAAATTATTGGCAGAGATGGTAGGCATCTTGCTGTATATTAATGTAGTGCCCCATTCTCTCTCCGAGTTACTAGAATGCCCCAGGCTGGGACTTTGGCCCAACTCTTTACTTCGTTTTTGTACTACTTTTGACTGGGGCTGTTCAGAATTCAGATACTAACTGCAGTTCAGATGAATAGTCTGTTCCAAATCAAAATAAACTTTGTTTTGTGTTCTCATGATTTCTTTACCTACTTGTGGGTTTTTGGAAGTGTTTTTTTTCTGCCCTTTTTGAGATACATTTTTTGGGTAGAACCTGCATACAGGTTGTATCTGTGATTAGCTTGGTACCTTCACCATCAAAAATGGACCCTACGGTTTCTAAACATCATGGTACATTCACTTGGCTTGCCATCACAGCTATCATCTGCTGATGTGAATGAGCCTTCACTTGTCGCTGTGGAATGGAAACCCTATGGTTTTGTAGCTTTCATGACAGAGTTGCTCATCATGTTCCTTGGCTCTGTCTTTCTTGTGGCCCCTAGAGCAATTGAGCACAAGCATTAACTTGTAGGATTTCACTAAGATTAACCTCCCACGAATTAATATGGGTCTAATATGGGCCTCTTAATAATCAATTATTAGAAATCATCCACATGTGTAGACAACTTATCTTAGCATACTCTTAAGTATACTGATACGAAATCAACAAGAAAGACCGTTGTCCTCGTCCACTCGTGACTATTGGCTCTAGATGGTGGCTTGGCTCTTGGGTAAACTTCATTTTTTGCTCATAAGATGAAATGGGTTTTGGTTGTCTTCGATCCCCACAGTTAAAGGAGACAGTGTGCACAATGTGGACCACCAAGCTGCATGCTGCGATCGTTTGGTGCGTGACAAACTTCAATCATTTCACTATGTTTGGCTACATCTTATTCACACCTCTCACGACAAACATTTACGAACAGGGCTTTGGCCCCATTAATATTTGCCTCGGGCTATGGCCCCATTAATATTTGCCCCTTCCTTGCATGATTCCAAATCTCAACGGAACGGAAGGGAAGGGAAAATCACTAGAGACACCCTCTAGATTTGTCAGTTGTTTCTATCACAGCAATCGTGTATGTACATGACATCTAGTAAATAATGTGTAAGTATTAGATTAATTTAAACTATTATTTGTATATAAATAAAATAAATAAAGATAATTTGTGTAATCTCATATTTTTCGCTCAACACATAGCACATCACATTATAAAAATAAGAGGAATGCTAAAACACAGTGTGCGTCAAGCATTAGATTTATGTGGATTCAAATTATGGATCTCATTACTGTCGACATTTGAGAGTTTACTTAAGCACATACATTCACGCATACAACTCTCTCTAGTATAACTTTGAAAACAAAAGAAGGAAAAAAAAAAATCAAATTGTATAGTGTTACAATTGATGTCTGTCAATCGACAATTGATCGTAATGAGTTGATTATAGAATCAGCTAATCATATATAATTCAATAATATATAGAAACAAAAATATACAACAAGAAATGTAAATTGTCTTTTACTATTAACACGTATGTCTGTCATGGGACACTTCCCTTACAGGTTTACGCAAACAAATATGAACACAAATCAAAACCAACGGTCAAAATAAAACCCTGTATGGAAAATAAAAACTAATAATGGTATGTAGGACAAGCTTCCCTAATATACGCTTAATCATGTTAATTGCCTGGCCAATCAATCACCAATGTGTATCAATCGATTGATCCTAGCCGTAAGTGAACACCGAACACTGCGACGCCGGCCTCGACAGCTCCGTTCCCGCGCTGGCCGGGCACTCCTCCATCCCCACCGGGGGCACCATGCAGTTGTAACTCAAGCACAACGACACCGTATCGGGCAACGTCGACCCCGGCTCAACAGGGAACCCGGATATGTAATTGTGCTGTAAATACAATGTTCTGGTGGTGCCCATGTACACGCTCTTAACGTACTCCCTCGGTACTTTCCCAATCAGACGGTTGTTATTCAAAAACAAGCTCTCCACCCCAGCCAGGATCGGCGACAGCTCACCCGTTATGGAGTTGTGGCTCAAATCCACGATCGAGCCCTCTCCGTAGGATGGGGGCTGGGACCCCACGGGCGGGACCCACCCGGAGAGATTGTTCCGTTGCAGCAGCAGCGACTGCAGTGTGGTACGGAACAGAGTTTGAGGGAGGGGTCCACTGAGACGGTTCATGCCGAGATCGAGGTGGACTAAATCAGTGAGCGAGTCGAAGAGGGAGCCGATGGGACCCGACATTTGGTTTTCCGAGAACGACAAGTAACGGAGCGTCGTCGGAAGAGAAGGCGGTAAGGGACCGGTGAGCTTGTTGCGTTTTAAGTCCAGGTGAAGGAGCTGAGACGACACGTCGTGCGGCAGCTCGCCGGAGAGGGAGTTGGAGCCGAGGATGAGGACTTTCAGAGTCGGTAAACGGGTCAGACCCTGGGGGATTGACCCGGTGAGGCGGTTGTAGCTGAGGTCGAGGGTGTGGAGGTTGGAGAGGAGAGAGAGGGTCTGGGGAATCGGACCAGTGAGGCGGTTGTTGGTTAACGAGATGACTCGGAGGTTGGCGAGTCTGCCGAGTTGGAACGGGATTGGACCTGTGACGATTCCGGGGAAGAGGATGAGCTGAGTCAACTCGGTGAGGTCGGCGAGGGAGGGAGGGAGCGACCCGGCGAGGCCGGGCGAGTCGGAGAGGCCAGTGCCGAGAGTGAGGGTGGTGACTCGGCCGGAGGTGCAGGTGACGCCGGAGAAGGTGGAGCAGGGATCTGGTGCGGCGGAGTCCCAGGTGGAGAAGAATGCTGTGGCACCTCGGAAGGGGACATCGGTGAGGGAGTTCTTGATGGAGATGAGGGCGTGGAGATCGACGGTGCTGATTTTCTGGTTTTCTTGTTGATGCGACGGTGGAGTGAGATTGAGAAGGAGGAGAAGAAGAAGAGATCGAAGTGGAAGTGAGGAGTGTGCATGTGGTTTGGCCGCCATGAACAAAAAACCACGAGAGAGAGAGAGAGAGAGAGAGAGAGAGAGAGAGAGAGGGAGACAAATATGGTGCGGTTTTATGGATATCGTGAGAGTGGGGGATGAAGAGGGATCTGGTGCGGCGGAGTCCCAGGTGGAGAAGAATGCTGTGGCACCTCGGAAGGGGACATCGGTGAGGGAGTTCTTGATGGAGATGAGGGCGTGGAGATCGACGGTGCTGATTTTCTGGTTTTCTTGTTGATGCGACGGTGGAGTGAGATTGAGAAGGAGGAGAAGAAGAAGAGATCGAAGTGGAAGTGAGGAGTGTGCATGTGGTTTGGCCGCCATGAACAAAAAACCACGAGAGAGAGAGAGAGAGAGAGAGAGAGAGAGAGAGAGAGGAAGTCAAATTTGGTGCGGTTTCATGGAAATCGTAAGAATGGGGTATGAAGTTATGATGGATATAACCGTTGCCTTGCGTAATGGCGTTATGGCCCAACTTATTTATTTGAGTCACCTTTCTTGGACTTATTATAAGAGCGCTAGTTACTTCATTTACTCACTACAATAATTACCACTGAGTACATCTTTCACACCTGCAGAACCTTACTTGCACACAGTGAATGAATCTCACTCCATTGCTTGAGACAGTAGTGCACATGGGCACCCCTCAATTGTTAATGCATGTGCAGTTCATATTTCATCAACGGTTGAAAATCACTCACTCATACGTGCGTGACTATTTTCAAGCGAAATAGATGCATATAGTTTGTGTGGTTTACCCTCTCGAATTAAACTGAGAATAGTGGTCCTATGAGTTGGGCAACTTTTGAGATGCATAAAATATGTCCTTTAGGATCACTCTTCGTCACTTTTGATGGATAGGAGTTGGGACTTAGGGGGTTGTTAATTGGTTGGACAACTTAGACTAAAAGTACTAGTACTTAAGTGTTAGGCTTGGCTTTGCTGTCAACCTTTTTTTAGCATTATTACTTAAAAAATTAAGAAACGTGTTTGCAATTAAGAGATTGATGTAATCATAGTAATGAAAAGCAGAGAAAGTTCACCCACCATGACCATTGACCATGCTCTGTTCTCTTGTAAATTCAGGTTTGAATCTTTGCTGTCTGCACCATTTTGTTCTTTTAGAGCATGCAGAGCAGATGGATCTAAAAGAAAAAGACCCACTTCAAAGAGCTAACTCTTTTCTTCCCATTTCCCAACCAATATACATAAAAATGTAAGTTAATTAGTGATTAAAGCTAGCAAAACCAAGCACTTAGCACTAATCCACACACCTGGATGACTTGTTTACTGACAGTTAGTGAATGACCTAAACTTAATGCAGACAAAAAGTTGATAAAAAAAAAAACAAGAAAAAGAAAAAGACCAGAGTGTAGCTGCTACACCGATCACTGCTTCCCAACTTAGCTATTAGTTAATGAGATGTCTTTAGATGCACATGGGGAGAGGTGTGGGCAAACATCAATATTCACCCCAACAGTGGTCAAACTATGCACGTACAGTATTCTAATTTTACACATAAAATACATTAGCATATACATATATGACACATTGTTTATTGCCATTAAATTAGGCACCATGATACATATATAGAGATCTATAGACAGCTCAGATGGAAACTTCGTGACGCCACTGCTGGAAAGATTCTCCCACTCTTTACTAATTTAATCCATATTGGACATTTTGTAGAAGCAAGTTAGGCCGAGTTAGGTTAGTTGGTCAAAACAGTGAATCCCTTCTCTTACACTTAAGTTCGAATCAACTTCCCCTTAAATTAGATTAATTTAAAATAAATTATCGCTTGTATAAAAAATTCATATTGGGCATCTAAGTGAGTAATATAATAGAGATACTACAAAAAAGAAAAAAGAAGAAAGAAAAAAGAAAGGTTTGAAGGAAGTTGAGCTTAGGCAGCTTTACGTGGGTGTGTTTATAAAAGTTGACGAACCACCAATGGATTATGGATGGTCCAATGCTTTAAAAAATGTTTCGGTGGATCTTTCTCAAGCAGTGTAGGTAGGTCCAGTGCAATTTTGTAAAAGGCTGCAAAATGAGCATGCGGCATGTCCAATATAATGAAGGAATGAATTGGAAGCTCAAGGAATATCAAGCTACCACCATTACTAGTTTGGATTTTAAGTTGGTTATTTTAAGGCTACTTTTGGGGGAAAAGAGCTTGAGACAAAGCTTGCATGTTATGCTATGGGGTTTTTCTTTTAATTTTTTTTTTAATACAAGTGATATTGGGGGAGAGAAGAATCCAACCTAGGACTATAGGTGCAGAGAGGGTAAAATGCGGAGCCAGAAGCACCGCTTTCTCGAAATTTTGAGATGTTAAGGTGGGTTGGGCCTCCAAATGGTTTGGGTCCTATGTGCGTGGGAATATATATGGGCTTTATTTTCTTGGCCAGTCTACGATTTGGGCCTATTATTTAGCCTGCTCTACTATAGAAGTGAGGGTCATCTCGGGCCTAAAGCTTTTGACGAGACAACTCTTGAAGTCTACCATCTAAACAAATTTAGGAAAAGATGTGTATGCATGGTTTTTATCCTTCTCAAAATCATTCATAAAAATTTACTGATGCAGTAGAGGATCAGGGAATTCAAAACATGGATGCAGGGAACTATGGAGAGCTGAAAATACAGGGGTGATATTTGGTTCCAGGAATAAATAGTGAAACCATTTTTCAACGAAATGCTCACAGAGCTTCTAAACCAAAGAT